GTGAAATTGATTTTATACTTGGAAATCACTCTATGTCCGAAAAGTTGTCTGTCAGATCAACAACGTCACTGTAACGTGTGTTAATGTTTAGGATTATTATTTATAGTATCAGGTAAAAAGACTTGAGTGTGTCTGCTGCCCCGTGCTCTCTATAAAACCACAGGTTCTCCTCAGACCAGCGGAGCTGATGTTGGTGCAGAGGCTCATTTGTTGTGGATGTAAACAGGCCTCTTCAGTTTATCAGTAAATCAATAGCCCTCTCTGCGGCTTTTAAAATAATTAAAGCAAATGTGATGTTTAGAATGTGTAACGACACACTGGGGACTGCGGAAGTTTTCTGGCCCTGATCGGAGCACAGGTGCACCGAGCGTCTGCCAGGTCTGAGTTTGAGCTGATAGTTTACCTTAATGCTGATTATCAATGTATCTGGTCACTGACACATCTGGAGCTGTGTATGTGCGTGATTGACTGTGGTTGACCAGACTGGTTAAAATGCCAGGGCCGACTCTTTGTCCCAGTCCAGCCCCGGTGATCAGACACTGCTGGTCAGATATCAGCAGCACCAGTCTGATCCTGATCCTGATCCTGATCCTGATCCTGATCCTGATGTGGTTCCTTTAATCACAGCCGTGTAGGATTCCCTGCTCTGTTTATATTTAGCATTCATTTACACTCTGTAATTTACTCCTGCATATGCTGCCTGTTATGTGCTGTAATTGCTTTGGGCAGGTTGTATTTGTAAAGCTGACACGCAGACTAATTGATTAATTGATGGCTGAGCGCTGAGGGGCGGCTTGTTGTTATTACACTCAGTGTCACACCAGGTTGTGTTTTTCATTAGAAATGAAGTCGGTCCTGACCGACACCTCCAGTGTGTGGTTACTATCACATGGCATGTTTTACTCACTGCAACACGCACAGTATCCGGTGCATCCTTTACCACATGGTGATGAATGATTGGAGCCAAGTGATGGTCTTGGGTGGATCCGGTTACTGTCCAGTATCAAAAGGTGTAACTGTAAATGAAACCATGAATCCTCAGAGACAGAGTGAAGTCTGATTCTCACCAGTGTTTACCTGATCCTGCAACCAGTGAAAGATCTGTGTGGGTGAGCTGTGTCAGTGATGATGCAACATTTTGCCCAGGAAGAGCAAAACATTGATCTCGCCTGTAGTCCGTCTCTGTACGGCCCAGTCGCCAGGAGAAAACCTTGGTGTTGTATATTTCTGCAAAACCTCGCAGGCGTTACATTTCTACGTGTACGTACAGTGACTAAGCTTTGTGTCATGGCAGGACATTCGCTCATCAGGCTCCACCCACTGTACACAAAGAGTCCAGTAGAGGGCGGAGCCTGTGTGAGATAGTGTAAAGGTTACGATATTGTAACCCTAGTTCTATTAGCCCTCTACCTCGGGGCCCTGTCACAAATTTGCAAATCCCAGGATAGTGAAGGAATGACCTGCCTTACTCTCCCAAGATCACCTTCACTGGTTGGATTAGTACGGTTTAGGCACGAGGAGTGTGACTGGCTGGAGTTCAGGTTAGAGATAGGCAGGTTATTCCTCTGCTATCCTTGGATTGTGGCCCTGTCACTTCTACGCTGTTTGCTAAATATGGTGTAGGATGTCTGACGCCAGCTATCGGCTTCTTTACACACTATATACTACATACAGTCTGCATGTATATGGGCAGCCGGCTACATCTATGTAATTCTCAGTGTGAGAATGTAGGAACATTACCCAAGGAGCTCCGCCTGTGCTAATAGAACTAGGGTTACAGTATCGTAACCTTCAGTCTTCACTTATATTAGAAGTGCCTTTCATGCAGTTACTTATGATGTCAGTGAGTTTAAGCTAATAATATTTGAATAAATTCTCTCTACGGGTGCTAACCTTTGGCTGCTTAGGTTCAGTATGGCCGGGATGATGTTTTGTTGCGACAGGATGTTCATTCATCGGGCTGTGTCAGATAGAACAGAGTTCCCAGTGTGAGAATGTGTGCTCGTGGTTAGAGGACTATTACCCAGGATTCATACTTAATACATATGAGCTTGACACACCGACCGAGAGCGGTGTTTGCGTCTCGTAAGATTCTCTCAGCCTGGGTGACAATGTGTGTGACAATTACACTTTTGGGATAGCGACCATAGATGAAATATAATGTGATTTAAATGTAAATCATAAATCTGAGAATTTTAAACGGTTTTGGATTTGGTACTGGATTTTGCCGCCATGGTCATTAGAGTCAGAATCAGAGTGTCATCTGCAGAGCCCTGATATCTAAATGTCTGCTACACATATAAAGCCATATATGGACCAGATTTGATGCTGTTATCACAAACTGAATGACCGCCTTGATTTCGGGAGCTGTGCCGGCCGTCTTCATTTCAGGTGAAACAATCTATAGATTTATTCCACAGCTGATGATTTTATATTACACATAACTATGCCCGTGCGTCTCTCAGGTTTGTACAGCCTCATTTCACTGAGCCCTGCACCTCGTTGAACAGACCTTGCACCTCATTATACAAATGTTTCTTGTAAAATCAGGAAATGGCTCATGAATAATGCAAGGTGGAGGTCAATGAATGAAATGAACCGAGGAGTGAAAGTGTTTTTCTCAGTCCTGAACTGTGGCTGTGCGCCCGACCCGTTAGTGCCAGCTGTGATCTGAACATTAAATGAACCTTGGCGGTGGCGCCACACACTTAGTGACTGGGTGTGATTTACTACAAACCTTGACGGGACATGGGAGGCTGAGATGTGGCTGGACACTGTGCTGGTAGTTACACCAGTCGTCTGAGCAAACACTGGAGATGCATTTCACTTTTCTGCTCTTCTTATTCACACGCTTTTCTTCACCTCTGTCACTCGTCTCTTTTCCTTACAGTGTCTTCATCCTTCTCATCTGCTCCTCTGTGTTTTCTAGGATCAGGACCGCCTGCAGACCAGACGGTGGTCATCGAGGAGTTTCGCTACCTGTCCCAGAAGATCTTTGTGTCTGTGTCCGTCTTTGCTGGGTTGGGAATCCTGCTGGGGATCGTCTGCCTCACCTTCAACATCTACAACAGCAATGTCAGGTAAACCCTCAATGTGATGTCAGAAAGACGCTGGACGTTGGACAGATGTCCAGTTTTGGTTGTAAATAAAAATCAGTTTGGCATCGAAAAGTTGGCTCAACATCAACTTCCAGCAGAGTTTTTTGAGAATGAGGTTGACGTCAAAACTCAAGGTTGGCGCGGCATCAATTCCAACATTGGATGGACGTTGCATAGTGGTTGAAATTCAAAACGGGATATCTATTAAATTAGGGCTGAAGTTTTCCTTCCAATGTTGGACAGATGTCGAGAAGGGGGGAGAGAGAGGGGATGACATGCAGCAAAGGGCCACGGGCTGGATTCAAACCCGGGCCACTGCAGCAACAGCCTTGTACATGGGGCTCCTGCTCTACCACTAAGCCACCGACGCCCCATTAATCTCAATTTGATGTCAGACCCCAGCCATGGGTTGACTTCAATCTTCCAACATTGGACATTTGTTGACTTTTTGTTGGTAATGAAAACCGGGTTCAAGACAAAACCCAAGGTTGGGTTGATGTTACATTCTGGTTGGAATTCAAATTCAGATCTTTGTCAAAACCCAGCGTTGGACAGGTGTTGAATTTTTGTTGGAAATGAAAATGGGGCTGGTATCAATACTCAACATTGGCTACATTAGACAGATGTTGCAATGTGGTTGGGATTCAAAATTGAATATCCATGAAAACCCAACGTCTGCTTGACCTCAACCTTCCAGCATTGGACACATGTTGAATTATAGTTGGAAATCAAAGCTCCCCAATCATAGACATCAATTAAGATCATATCAAGATTCAAGTCCATTTAAAGTTTGAATACTGGACTGAAGTCCGTCTCAGACATAGATCGTTCTGCTTCGCTGTCTTTACCTACTTGTTAGAATGACGTCCAGACAGGTGTAGGTTACTGCTGCTCTGAGCTTCACTCAGACATGACAGGACATTTACAGACGGACACAATACTCACACAGTATTTGGTAATATCTGGTGTGTGAGAGGGACCACAGAGACCATTCACAAAAGTGTCACGTAACAAAAATTAAAAAAATGATCAAAGGATTGAATCAAGTTGGACAAATTAGTAGGTAATATATTTAAAAAATCAATTATGTGACAGTTAAAATGGACATAACACAGGTGGAGTCAGGTAAAAGACACAAAGCAATCCCGGGCCAAACCAGTTTAAACTGGAGGCTTCAGTCTGTGAGCCTTAGTTTTTGCTTTTTGTAATCCACCTTCTTTCTTTAGGACCCACACTGAGCCGGGGACAACAGCACACCTTTGATATGATGCATTCCTGAGGCGATGTAATCTGTGTAATATTTACAGAGCTCAGTCTGACTGTTGACAGTGACTGTTAGAGCGGCGTGTGTGAGGCAGCAGACAGTTGAATCCAGACTTTATATTCCTGACAAACAGCTAATATCTGGACTGGGTGACAGCAGGAGGATGACAGCGAGGAGATTGGTGTGTGTGTGTGTGTGTGTGTGTGTGTGTGTGTGTGTGTGTGTGCGCGCGCCCCGGCCCTCGGAGACAGAGCCTATGACAGACACAAATATCCGTCTGTGCCTGATAGTGTGTGTGTGTGTGTGTGTGTGTGTGTGTGTGTCATAGCACGCCTGTGCAATCTGTTTTTTCAGTCTGACCCAGAGAGTTTTGTTTTTCTATTTTGGTAACTGTGTGTGTGTGTGTGTGTGTGTGTGTGTGTGTGTGTTGAGGAGGTCTAAATTTCTTCTCTTGCATATAAAGACAAGGTAAATCCTCCAAAATGTGGAGATGAAAGTGAGGAGCTGAAGAATATAATCAAGTGAAGTGTCAGTTGACATGTAGCTGGTAAAAGCAGCTGAAGTGTAAAACCCAGCTCAGACCAAGGACCCATGATGAGACGAGTTGACACAAACAACTACTGTCAACGCTCTGCAACGTTGTAAAAAGCTGCTAGTTGACAGGAAGTGACCACCGTGAGACGGCGCATCATCTCTAGTCAACGACTCTCTGTACTTCTGATCTGTAACGTCGACAGGAAGTGACCACCATGAGACGGCGCATCATCTCTAGTCAACAACTCTCTGTGCTTCTGATCTGTAACGTCGACAGGAAGTGACCACCATGAGACAGCGCATCATCTCTAGTCAACGACTCTCTGTGCTTCTGATCTGTAACGTTGACAGGAAGTGACCACCGTGAGACGGCGTATCATCTCTAGTCAACAGCTCTCTGTGCTTCTGATCTGTAACGTTGACAGGAAGTGACCGCCATGAGACGGCGTATCATCTCTAGTCAACAGCTCTCTGTGCTTCTGATCTGTAACGTCGACAGGAAGTGACCACGGTCATGGTGACACCATCAGCCGGCTTGAGTCGAGCTCAGACCGGCCAGTTCACACCGCTGACACTTTTCTCTGCAACGTTCTAAACCTGTTTCATCTCGTCACAAATCTTTGGTCTGACCTGGACTCAACAGTGAAAGCACATGAGGTTTCAGTCAGTGACTCTATTTGAGGACCAAAATTTAGACTAAAAAGCCTCTGTGTAATTATTTTATACTTTCATGTAATGGGGGCAACTTATTACCCTCAGCTAGACATTAGCCTAATAGAGGAGAGGATCAGACCTGCGGCAAGTGATATTTTAGTGGATCAGCTGATGTCCTGTACAACTGAACCAGAGGCGCTGGAAACGATCAGCTTGTGGCACCACCATTCCATCAGTATGGAAACACCTTTGTAGACAGCAGGAGAGCGCATCCCTGAAAAATACCAAAACATGGCAGAGACTAAGCACAGTTTGTTACATGAATATTTTGGTACAAACATTTACCCTCCAGTGTGGCAGTGAGCCCTCATAGATTGACTCAGCAAAGGGAAAATCTACCTCATTTGGCATTTGGTGGATGTTAATTTTGGACCCTGTGTAAGAGTCGTCGATGTGTGACTGCTGGAAGTGTTTTTGAAGCATAGTTGATGTCAGCAGTTGAAATGTCTGGTTAAAGAGGAAGTGCTGGATGTGGTTCAGTTATGTGCAGTGTCAGTGTCAGTTGGTATGTGAGTATTAACAGTACCTAAAAGAACTTGAGGTCAACCTTCACCTCAGCTGTGCCAGTGGAGCCTCGGCAGGCTCAGGAAAAGAGTGTTTGAGGACGGAGATTTGAGGGTCCATGGAAAACTGGTTCACAGAGCTGAAACGATAGTTGAAGTGTTCGGCCTGGGAACGGTTGAAGAATAAGATCTGTGTCATTGGAAACAGCCAAGTGTTGGTTAAAGCAATGAAAGCACTCGAAATGTCAGCTGTAGTTTAAGATGATGACACAGCTTACACTCAGAAACAGTTGGCACCATCTATAGATCCTGAATCCTCCCTCTGTTATTATTCTCCTCACTCTGGTATGAGTCTATTGTTTATGTATTTGTTTATGACGATGTGCATGTTTACAGAAACATAAATGCGTCTCTGCTTCTGCTGCAGGTACATCCAGAACTCTCAGCCTTACCTGAACAACATGACTGCAGTGGGCTGCATGATGGCGCTGGCTGCTGTCTTCCCTCTGGGCATCGACGGCCTACATGTCCACAGGAGGCAGTTCCCCGTCGTCTGCCAGGTACGCTTTGAAAGTCGCTCCAAACACAGTGGTTTGATTTCCCTGTTAAAGGGGGTTTTTTTGGGGAGTTTTTCCTGATCAGCTGTGAGGGTCATAAGGACAGAGGGATGTCGTATGCTGTAAAGCCCTGTGAGGCAAATTGTGATTTGTGATATTGGGCTTTATAAATAAAATTGAATTGAATTGAATTGATTTCAAACATACTGCAGAGCGTTTACTGTTGGAAGCAGCTCTGCACACAAGGATTATCATCCCTGACAGTAAACAGTTGATACTGTCCGTCTGTCCAAATCATCACATCAGTCATTTTATGTTTATTGATAGAGTTGTTTTTTTATTTAAATGTTTTTCAAATTGTGCTCAAAGGTGTCCAGATACTGGAGGAGGGAGTTTATCAGTCTGATCTGTGGAGGTGCAGACGGTGGTGTGGAGGGAGAGTAGCCGTGGGCAGAGTACTCAGCCGTCGGGGGGTTCTGGTGCAGACTGTGGTGGAGGTGATCCTCCCAGCCTCACCTGCTGCTTCCTGTCTGTCAGGAAGTTTGTGATCCACTGACACATGGATCACATCTGTGCCTGTGAATGTGTGTGTATGTACATATTTTTACCAGTTCCACAGCTTTTTCTTGGGTAACCATCGGGTACCTGACTCTGGTGCATCATCCACTGATTTGTTTGCAAGGTACAGAAACTGCAGGGGGCCCAGCAGGGGTCCTGTGATGTCCTTCAGCTGGACCAACACCAGTCTCCAACTTAATTCAAAGGGTTTAATAACCACAGACGTCAGAGCGATCGGCCTGTGGTCTTTTAATCCTGTGATGGAGGGTTTCTGAGGGACTGACGGGTGAGGCAGGAGCGGACGTCAAACAGCTCCAGTGATCTGTTGATCTGTGTGAAGACGGGGGCTGGCTGATCAGCATAGACTTCCAGACAGGAGGGTGACACGCCGTCTGAGCCTGGTGCCTTCCTCATGTGTCTGTGAAAGAGCCGACACACATCCTCCTCACTGAGAGCAGGCCGGGGGTCAGCGGGGAGGAGTGAGAGGAGGAGGTGGTTGTTTGATGTCGGAGCAGGTGAGGAGTGTAAAGGTGGACCAATCAAACCAGCAGTGAAAAACACTCAGGTCGTCAGCCAGTCGACGGGTCTGAGGGGATCATTTCATTTAATTAGTGATGTGTCCCGCAGGCTCCTCCACGCTGACACGCTCCTGTTCTTAAGCCTTCAGCGTAGCTCCTGTTTGCTCCTCTGATCTCTCCTGTCAGCGTGTCTCTGGCCTGGTTGGACGGCAGTCTGTCCGCACCTCTGTAGGTCTGGTGACGCCCACTGAGTTTTGTTGTGAAGCAGGATTTATTGTTGTTGTTGGTGCAGAAGGTTTTAGTTGAAGCACAAGATGTCACAGTGTCAGAGTTCATCTAGGTCTGTGTCTGCAGCCTCAGAGACTCTGTAATCAGTGCAGTCTGCAGACCTGCAGCTCCAGCTTTACCTCGCCGGCCCACCTCCTCTGAGTCTTCGCCCCAGACTGAGCAGATTTTGGAGCAGATGAACCAGAGTGATCAGAGATTCTTCTGAGGAAGCTAATAAGTGTATTTTCTAAAACTGTTCCTCTAAAGCCGATGAGAGTGGATCCCTGCTGGACGCCCCCCCAGCGACCACGACTTTAATGCGCTCAACAACAAACAACACCTGCTGATTCTGGTTTCCACACAGCTCGTTTTTTTACCGGAGCTAAAAAGTTTCTCATGTAAGTGAAACTACGAGACGTCAAGTGTGATGAGAGGGTTTGAAATCATTCTCTGCAGAGCGTCAGTGTGCTCAGAGTCTCAGATATTCATTATTGGCTTGTTACTTGTGTTTATTGTATAGATATTAATATTCGAGGGGACCACAAACCTTAAAGGGATTGTTACACTGTGGGGCTAAACCAGGCTCGTGGGACTGCATCAGCTGAGGCTAGCAAGCTCGTAACTTAGTGCCTCTCTCTACATGATGCATTAGACGTGACACATGTACCTGGACTTCCCTGGGTGAGTGTGGTCCTTCCTATCTGTGTGTGGTCGACTCTCCACCAGGCTCTTGCTCTCCACTGGACACCTCCCTCGGCCCAGGCCGCCCTCTTCGTGGTTGTTGAGAGTGAAGGTCTGTCAACATGGATGACTCATGGTGGAGTGTCAGATGCTTCCTCCGTCTGTTTTTGTCCTCAGAATGTTCTGCCTCCATCATCTTCCTCATGGCATGCCTGTTCAGCACAAAAACCTCCCCAGCACCTAATGAGTCAATGCCACCAACCCCCAGGTGTGACATAAGTGCTGACCCCGCCTCCTAACACCTGCCTAAACCACACCCACATCTACAAGACATTCATTAAACTACCAATAAAGCTGTCATAGTAGGAGAGTTCAGATTTTGTTAAGTGGGTCTGTGGTCAGTGTATTACGTACAGCAGATGGTGGTCCTGAAAATGTAAATGATATAAAGTGTACATTAAATGTGATGATTAAATGATGTGTAACCCCATGCCTCCACATATGTCAGGCGTGTATAAACCGAGAGCGTCCTCAACTACTGTAAAACTTAAGTTAAAGCCTGGCACCAGTTTAACACCCAGTCCCTTTTACCAGCCTGGTGTGGCTCCATGTTTTAACAAATAAAGGCCTGTCGCAATCAGAGGCCTGCTGTGGTGCCAAGCAGGTCATCTTTATCGAAGTAAACCTGGTTGTCTGTTCACTTTAACTCACTCTGACTCTCCTCATACAGATCTGAAACTCTTTCTTTTTATGCTTCACGCTGCTGCAACTCTTTTAAAATGTTGTATCTTACTGGATTTTATGATTTATGGTTTTACAACTCTATGATCTTATGATGACTATTTTTATGTGAAGAGCAGTGCTTAAACTGCCCTTTATTAATTTATTATCACTAGTCCATAGCCATTGGTAGCTTTGTCACCTTCTACCTATGCCAGTCCTCAATGCCTATGTGCAGTTTCACATAGATTGACCACGTCAGTGAGTAGAAAAACGTGGGACAGACAGAATGACTGACTGACAGAATGACACACTGACAGTTTCCGTGATTATGTACAGCATACCATACCATGACTTAGTCATACCAAACATTAGAAAACAACACCAACATTGGTCCACAGGGGGAGCCACAGCGATCGGTCGCATTTTAGCCATTTTGAAGCATTTTTCTGTTGTTATAGCGCCACCCAGTTGCCAATTAGAGTTAAATTTCTCCAGTCACCTTGAGGCGTCCTGTTCTACATATCTACCAAGTTTAGTAAAAATCCATATGGCGGTTAGGCCTAGATAAGAAATGAGCTCTCTAGCGCCCCCATTTTGTTTGATGGGGTCAATAATGGAGGGGTCCCCTCAGATTATGTGTGGTCATATGCCTACAAAGTTGCGTGGTGATGGGTGAAACCCTTGAGATGTTATACACCTTTATGTGATGAGCCACGCCCTCCGCAATATTCATTGCCTTATAGAAGCTCAGTTTTAGTAAGTTTTCCAACTTTTGCCAAGAGGGAACTTTAGATATTGGTCCCTAGATTATGTTCACCCAGTTTCATGCAGATCGCTCAAACTTCCTAGGAAGAGATCCATTTGAAGTGTTTTTCAAAAAATTCAAAATGGCGGAAAATCTATATAAGCGGAAGTTATGGGTTCTTGAGGCAAATGTGTTCCTCATGAGGAGAGGCATCTCTGTGCAAAGTTTCATGTCTCTACCACATACGGGGCATGAGGTATGCCCATTCAAAGTTTGACATTTCAATGGGTTGCTATAGCCCCCCCTTTGGCCAATTGATGTAATATTGCTTCATTGGCATCCTCCCATGACCCTCTACCACTGTGCCAAATTTCACATGGATTGACCAAGTCAGTGAGGAGAAAAACATGGAACACACACACACAGAGATTTCGTCATTATACAGTAAGATAATTATTATTATTTTTAATGATGATGATGATGATGATATCAGTGTGGATTTTTGGCACCTCTGACACATGAGAGTGTGGTTCCTATCCAGAGGAGATCAAAACAAATCCCTTCTCAGAAAATCTCTGGTCTAAAGCCTGGCAGTGTTCTGGAGTTTTAAGTCTCTGAGCTCTCCTCTTCTGTCTGATGTCTGAGTCTCGTCCACCACAGTAAAGACAGACAGTGTGACTCCTTTATTACAGAGGACAGTTGGAGAGAAGGTTATTTTCACTTCAAGGTCATTTCTGAGAGGCTATTAAACTCAAACAGGCTTAACGACGGAGAGTGACTGAGGAGCTGATGTGATTAATCTGTTTGATATATTAATCAGTTTAATTATGAAGCCTTTCTTGTCTTTTCTTCTCCGTCAGTTCCGCCTGTGGCTGCTCGGCCTGGGTTTCAGCCTCGCCTACGGCAGCATGTTCACAAAGATCTGGTGGGTCCACACCGTCTTCACCAAGAAGGATGAGAAGAAGGACAGGAGGAAGGTAAGTGCGGCCGGGATTCAAAACTGTTTATGTTCCAGCAGTGAACAATTAAGTCCAGCGGGTGCATCGCTGCCGAGCCGAGCGCGGTTAGACTTCACTTCATCATCACCCCCTTCAAGGGCGAGCTCCGCCGCTGGAGATGATGTATTCCCCAATCATGTGTTATCTTTTTGCATTTACTCTCTGCCCTGCTGCTGCAGTCGGCCCACTGCTCGCCCTTGAGCATTGTGTAGCATCTATTTGTCATGCTGCCTGCCCGCTGAACTCCTCCAGTCGGCCCCAGTGGTAAAAGGCCTCTCCGAGCCCCCCCCCCCTTCCTCGTCTCTTGTATGTAAGAGGACATGTCAGACAGGACGTCTCAGAGCGGATGCTCCTGCTGTGAGGCGAGAGCACAGAGATTCAGCCTGTCACTGAATATTTATGAAGGTCCTTAGTTGGAGGAAGCCTATCAGGCGGGATTATTTTATCCAGGGCTGCGTCAAGTTCGTCAAGTTCGTCAAGCTCCGCCGCTGGAGATGATGCAATATTAGTTCATCAAGTTCACTTTAACCCTTCAGGCAAAGGCAACGTTTGTAACTGTGCTACAGAGCAGAGACCTGCACAGATCCACTGTTAAAATCACACCCATACCCATAAAGCTCAGCACCAGAACCAACCTGTTACTGTCATCATGTCCAAGTCAAAGCTGCACCATGATCAAACCCCCCCAGGCTCTCTTTGACTAGATGGTGAAAACATTCAATCACTGCCAGGTTAGGAAACATGTTAGCATGCTCCTTCCACCACCATCAAACCTCCAAAGGATCCTCCTTGGGTGTCTTGAACTCCATGTAGGAGTCACTACAACTAAAAGAAAAACTGTCACAAGGTCATTTCAGTCCAGCGGCCGCTGGCTGCGAGCAGAGCTAGCTGCTAACTGCCACCGCTGCAACTAACAAACTCCACAAATCCATTCAGCAGCTCCACCATCCACAGTCAGACACACACGGCTGATTATTTACTGCTGAATTACAGCTCACAACTCGCACCAACCCAAACATCCTGGTGCAGACTATTTACTGGAGTTTCCCAGCCTGTTGTTCATGTGGCATCTGAAGATAACTGCGTCAACAAAATTGAAACATAGAGTTTGTCATAGTTTTTATCAGATCTACCCTGCTCTCACTGTCACATGAAGGAGAAACTGCATCTCTGCAAACATTAGCACTGGATGTAAATACTTCATGTGTCCAATATGACAGTAATTTCCTGAACATACAGAGCAGTAGGCTCCACAGCTCTCCGACCACGAGGCCCCTGGCTGTTGCTTTCTAACAAGGACCAGCTGCAGAGTGAAGAATATTCACCGCAGCTGAAAAACCAGAAACTCTCATCTTGCGGAATAATGCAGCAGAATCAATAAGCACTTTATGGTGCTGGACCTGTTCCCACACATCTCTGTGTCGTCTGAATACATAAAGGAACACCTTTATTTATTGACTGAGAGAGGAGGCAGTGTGTTCTCATCAGTGTGGTGCCTCTGTCTCTCCTCCTGTCACGGCCCGGTGCTTTGAGGGCAGATTGAATTGGCTTCAGTTAGTGATGGATCATTGTTTTCTCGTCCAGCTTAGGCTGGTCTATTTATGGCTTCATAAATCCCTCCCTCACAAAATCAGAAAGAGAGGATTTGTGCCTCCTCCTGATCCCTCGCCATGCTGCCGCAGTGACCATCACCACCCCTTTGTTTCCCCGCAGCACCTGGAGCCGTGGAAACTCTACGCCACCGTCGGCGTCCTGCTCGGCATCGACGTCCTGTCCCTCATGATCTGGCAGATCGTGGATCCTCTACATATCACAGTGGAGGTATGATCCCCCAGTGTCTCTGTAAGAAGAGACAAAACATTTTAAATTCCTCCAAAAATTGAATTCATTCATGAGCAGAACTTTATCTGCAACTGTAAAGTATTTGGTGCGTCTAAATAAGAAACTAAATAATAATAATAATGAAACAAGTAGATAAATAAATAATTAGATAAATATTTATGGAAGCTTGTGACTGTCAATATAAAAATAAAATCATTTAATCAAAATAAAATATCAGTGTCTGTTCTGTGTGCATGGAGTGTGACAAAACATTTCAAAATCAATTTTTATTTTCTGAATTACTGTGTAAATGGCAATAAAAATAATAAATAATAATTGAAAATTGATTTTCAGTGTGCTCCTAAACATAACACTGCTGAATGAGAAATGGACGTCATTATTTTCAAACTGGAAAACAATGTGTGACCTCAACATTTCAGTTGGAATGATGTCATAAATTTAGCACATTTCATATTAAAATCTCTAAATGGTCAGATTCTTTCAGGTCTCTTTGTGAAATTTAAAGACAAATCAAATCTAATTAAGTTTCTGCATCACAGATTAAATGTCAGTTTTATATTTATTTGATGGTTCAGTTTAACTGCAAAATTTCAGATAGGAATTTAAAGTGTAAATATTCTGTCAATTTGAAATTGAAAAAAAAAGAAAAAACAGTTTTAAACGAGATTTAATTATCATTACAGCAGTCTAATGCTTAATAATTAATAATAATTATAATTTATAATAATAATTATAATTTATTGATTTTATGAATAAAGCTTTGACTATAATTTTGACTATCAGTTAATCTGTTTGTTATTTTTTGATTCATTTTTTAAATCCCACAATAGTGCTATTTATTTGTAACTGGCTCAAAAAAAAAATGAAAATAATTTTTTTGAAATTGAATTTTTTTTTTTTAATCAAATGCACTTATAAGTGGAACTTTATCTACGACTGTAAAGTATTTGATATATCGACATAATTAGAATATTAAAATAAAATCTGTAATTATTGAGTGCAGTTTCAAGTTCTATTTTATGTGCATGATGTTTGTTATTTACATATTTTAATTACTGACAAAGTAAAAAGAATAGCCACGTCAACAATTAAATTTTCTAGAACATTTCTTGAATGGCAGAATTCTCTCAGTTTGGTAATGGTTCAGTGGTTCAAGTTAATTACAAAATTCAATTTGAAATTTGATTGTAGTCAATGTTAAATTAGATTAGATTATGCTCAAGAGTAAAAGGAAATGTTAAGTTGATTCTGTGAATAAAGCTTTCATTTTTATTTATAGAGCTACAGTACGAGATTTTTACAGTACGATAACCGTCTCAGAAAAGGCACCACGGTGTTACAAAATTTATGTCATTGTCTGTCAGAGAGAGCCTTGAAGTTAAATTGGACGGATTATTTTTGGTTGAACAGACTTTTTATTACTATAACTGAAACTTGAAACCATTTTGTTACTGGAAGTGTGTGTAAGAAATCTTCCCTGTTTTGAAAATAACTAAAATTAAGTTTAGATTCTCCGTCTAAGTGTGTTTATTTTACAATATCATAGATAAGCGAATGTACATGGTGTGATAACTGTGAATTTTACTATCACCGCATACCTTGTAATCGCTGTACCGTTACAACCTTAGCTTTAACTAACAATCGAGGCCATCAAAATAAAAATGAAATCTCCAAGTCTGAGAATCAGGAATCCAGTGAATAGTTTGCATAATAAATTACAAAATCACTTACAAAATGAAAAATAATTTAATTCTCTGTCAACGGACTAATTAATTAATGAAATATTTTGATATATTTTCATGTGGCGGTGGTTATGCATTTTGAGGCATGTAAATTATAATGTAAACTGGTTTTAAAAATGTTTTATTCTTAGATTATAATTAGGGAGGCACGATAATATCGGCACGTCATCTTTGTCGGACGATACCAGCTTTAAAATGAACAGAATCAGAATCGGCCAACGTGCCAACATCGGTGTGTCATCAGCATATCGGCAAAACATCCAGTAATGTGCATCCAATGAAAACTGAAATTTCACTTTGATAAAATAATTTCATCTTAATATCAGACGTCACAGGTTTCCATAAAAATAGACTCATCTAAGTAAATACATTTTGATTTCTACTCTTGAAGCTGTGGCGTGTTTCTGTTCTTCACCTGTGTCCTCATGTTGTATGTATGTCCGCAGAAATTCACCACAGAAGCCCCCAAAGGAGACCTGGATGTTTTGATCCAGCCTTTACTGGAGCACTGCAGCTCAGAGAAGATGAACACCTGGCTGGGTCAGTAGAATATCAACCGACTCCTTCATCACTATTTCTGTCAGTTCTGTTTCTATAAAACAATATAGTAGCTCTTCTTCGTGCTTCTCATATCACCGAATCCCAAACTGCTTCTAAACTGACTGCTGTTTCTAAGATCAACAGTCCAGCCTATCACATCAAACTATCTTTCTTTCCATAGCTGATAGCACAGTGGTTCAGCCTCCTGGCGACGCAGGTTCATTACCAAATTATGAGATGTGATTAATTATTTCCAATAGGCTACATCTCAAACAAGTCTCAAGTCATGGTGACTTCAAGACCTGGCACAACTGTCCCCCTGGAAGTCAGAAAATCGGTGTAACATAGAGTGTGATTTGAAAAAATGCTAAATCACTGGTATGGCTTCTTAAAAACTTTGTAACCAACTCTGTGAGCACTGTGTGCACTGAGCTGCAGCACAGACGGTCCCATCATTCCTCACAGCTGCCGTCTCGTCCGTCTCTGTAGGTGTGGTGTATGGTTATAAAGGTTTAATGCTGCTGCTCGGCATCTTCCTGGCCTACGAGACCAAGTCCATCTCCACGGAGAAGATCAATGACCATCGAGCTGTGGGCATGGCCATCTATAACGTCGCTGTGAGTTCACTGAGTTCTGTATGTGTGTGTATGCTGAAGCCTGTGACTGAAAGGACCATCCATCCACCCATCCACCCATCCACCCATCCATCCACCCATCCATCCACCCATCCACCCATCCATCCATCCACCCATCCATCCACCCATCCACCCATCCATCCATCCATCCATCCATCCACCCATCCATCCACCCATCCACCCATCCACCCA